CGTGCAGCCCTAGTTCAGAATATATATATTTTTTATCCACAGTAATTTTACTCTTGTCTAGTACAAATATGTCGCTTTGTTTCATAATTACAGTGTATAAGTTTTTCTTTATTTACCCTCAAAAAATGGAAGTGAAATGCAGGAATGGGTACCGAAACCCGGTATTTAATCGGTCCCGGGGCTAAATTAAGAAAGACCGGAGTATCGATAAGCTCTGATGTTAATGGTTCTGCTATCGGTACTGGAAAATTTAATAAAACACACATACAGGTGCATCTCAATAAATTAGAATGTCGTGGAAAAGTTAATTTATTTCAGTAATTCAACTCAAATTGTGAAACTCGTGTATTAAATAAATTCAATGCACACAGACTGAAGTAGTTTAAGTCTTTGGTTCTTTTAATTGTGATGATTTTGGTTTTGGAAAGTTTTTTTTATTGGTCTTATGAAGTATTCTAATTTGTTGAGATAGTGAATTGGTGGGTTTTTGTTAAATGTGAGCCAAAATCATCACAATTAAAAGAACCAAAGACTTAAACTACTTCAGTCTGTGTGCATTGAATTTATTTAATACACGAGTTTCACAATTTGAGTTAAATTACTGAAATAAATGAACTTTTCCACGACATTCTAATTTATTGAGATGCACCTGTACATTTATTATTGCTATTTATACATTATCTTGCAAATTCTATCTCACCAGAGTCGCCAGCTGTTTTTCAAAAGACGCTGTTCCTCAGGCTGAAATGTGTGTGCGCGGCGCGCTCCAAAACGGACAAACAAATTACACTTTGAGCTTTGGGCGCATGTCCAATCGATCAAATACACACAGAAATATGTCTAAATGGCCGGCTTGGAGAGTATTTACTTAAACACAGTTTATGTCTTAAGTGGAGGAGAACAGTTGGGAGAAAATCCGATGTGTGTCAATATATTGTCTTAAAGTGACAGACTGGCGCTTGGGGCATCAAAATGCAAATCTGCTCTTAATCTGAATAACGTTATAGCTTTAATAAGCATTAATTTTCAGTTTTTCTTTTTTAATAAATCTGCAAAAATGTCAACAATTCTGTGTTTTTCTGTCAATATGGGGTGCTGTGTGTACATTAATGAGGAAAAAAAATTTACTTAAATGATTTTAGCAAATGGCTGCAATATAACAAAGAGTGAAAAATTTAAGGGGGTCTGAATACTTTCCGTACCCACTGTATATATAAACAAAAAGTACCGATAATAATACCGTTAAAGTACCGAATCAATAAGCAGTATCGGTAAGAGTAGTAATACTATTAAAACTTTAATGATACCCATCCCTAGTGAAATGTGACAACATGCAACCATGCTTGGGAAGGCCCACATAAACAAGTAAAAATACTTTACATGTCTTGAAATAATCATTTCTAAACATTAAACATTGACTGTCAGTCTTTATTCACCTGTTTCTCATTGTTTCTCGTTAAAATTAATTAAAGTAAATAGTGTAAATTACATCGCTAACGTCATGGAATAGCACATTGTAACGCAGTGTTACAACGTGCCCCATCTGCGCAACTGGAATTTAAAACTGGTTAGTGTCTTCTGCTAGTAATCAAATCATTAAAAAACGATCTGAACTGATAAATAACAGATTGGATATTAAAATAATAGCAGATTTGTCTAATTTTAAATGAATAATAAAAACTGAGATAAAAAATTTACTTAAGCCAGAATTTTGAGTTTACTATGGTAAAATAAATATTCAAACCACGTGTGTTACAACTAACCCCCCGTTATTTTGTGCATCGCGCTCCCCTATATTATATTATGTCACACTTCACACTTCTCTAGTAAGTTTTGTCTGTGTGTGTGAAGACAGTAGCGCAAATCCGTGAATGAATGTTCCAAAGTGAAATAAACTTCAACGGAATAAAGTTGAATGGAATTTAATTGAATTAAAGTTGAATGAACTTCAACTTTACTGTTCAGTGCACTGATGTCAGACTCATTTTGGATAGTAAAGTTTATTGTTAAGTTGATAAATGCCCTTACATATCTCTGTCACCATTATAAGTGTTTGATCACCACATTTGAGTGATCATTGCAGAAAATGGGTTTATGTATATGTATTCTGTTTATGCATATACTGTATTCTATATATAGTACCAGTCAAATGTTTGGACACACGAATGGGAAAGTGTCCAAACTTTTGACTTGTACTGTACTATAATATACACAAAGAATATCGGCTGATATATCGGTATCAGCCTTTTTTACCCCCTAATATCGGTATCGGCCCCAAAAAACCCATATCGGTCTGGCTCTAGTCTTTACTGTCACTTTTGATCAGTTTAATGCATCTGTGCTGAATAAAAGTTTTAATTTCTTTTAAAAAAATCTTACTGACCCCAAACTTTTAATTGGTAATGTATGTATTGTATGGCAATGTATGTGAGTCGATGCTATTTTAAAATAAATGATCATGCCTTAATGATTTGACACCTTCTTTGTGTCGACGTCGCCACTAGGGCTAAGCAAAAAAATAGATTTTCCGATTAATCGTTTTTTAAAATGACGTCGATTCGATATCGATTCTCAAAAGCCGCGAATCGATCTTTTCCAGTATATACTGTATTTCAGCACACATTTAAAACAAGATCTGATTAACATGAATCTTATCATTAGTCTTCTCCACTAGATGTCACCCTTATTTACCTTGCTCGATGTTACAACAGAAATCCTGTCATTCATTCAGCACTTATCATGGCCATACGCGCAATTCGCAATGCTCAGGTGAAATGCTATAGTAATACTATAAATCTGCAGAAGCATTTGATATCACGCATAAGGCGCCATGATTTCCGCAATGAATGAATGGCGGATGGTGCGGCGCACTTTTTTTTTTGCCTCACACATACTAAAGCGCAGATTACGCTTGCGGTGTTTTCAGCTTCTGCCGTCTCACTATATGATTATATGAACACGAATGCCATCTCCAGCTGCTCTGAGAGTCACTTCATTAGCATTTACCATTTAATTTGAGAAAACTACCGTCATTTCACATACACAGCAGCTGGAAGTTCTTCACAGCAACCCGTCAAAATAAATGTTTAGTTTAGCGTTCTACTGTCAGAATATATTACTATTTAGCAGTCTCTAGATTCTACTACTGCTAATAAATGTTAATAAATCTTTAGTTTTAAAGGAATAATCACAGCTGTTTTCTTTTTAATTTTAACAGTAAACCTCTGTTGTGCAGCACTTTGTTTGCCAAAAAATAAAAGGGTTTAATTTTCATTTGATTAGGATCAATTAAATTAATGTTTTATGCCTTCATCTGATTACCAGAAAAATTAAGAACATTTTATAGGGCCCTATTATTGTTTAAAAAAGGACCCTATACAAAAAAAAGAATAGGTTTAAAATACAGGCATGTGGTTCTTAATTTCTTTTTATTAATTCACCATTTGTAAACTGATGTTTACTGTTAATTTTTTAGAAATATCAATAGCATTTGTATTAAAACTATATTCACTGAATGAACTCAAAAAAATCGAGAATCTAATCGGGACATCTGAATCGATACCCAGCCCTAGTCGCCTAGCCCTGTTATGTATCACTATATAGAGCAATATTACTCCATTTAAATGTTCCTCTTTATGGTCAATATAAATTAAAGTCATTGCATTAAGATGTTGATTATGTCTGCCTACGTCACTCCTTGAATGTAGTGCCTGGATTACCCAGCAAACCACTCTTGAGCTGTGGTTAGGGACTCTTAATGCTAGTTACCCTGCCAACAATACAATTCAACCTCGTTTTGGGATGATTGTCCTCATCAGACTGATGGGTTTTAGATGCCACCTGCTCAGACAGCTTATCCCAGCGCTGTTTATTGCTATGGAGGGAAATTATTTACACTGATGGTGTAGATACACTTACTGTGCGTTCACACCGCCGCTGTCGAGAGCGTCAAAGTGGCCAGAAGTCATTCATTTTCAATGTGAGCCGGCGTCAAGCCGCGCGGCACGACTTGGACGTTGAGGGCGTCGAGGAGTGTTGAAATCAGGTCAACTTTATGGTAATGAGCTATGACACAGTTCGGCGGCATCTGGCGGCAACCAATCGGAACGTAGAAGTCCACCGCTTGAGAGGATTCCAGAGAACGCAGTCTTGTAAACTTTGGTTCCGACCACATTAGTTCCCAAGCAAAATGGAGAGGTTGATTATTGCTGTGGCGGGTTTCCCAATAATCTATGACGTGTCCCTGTTTGCATACAGGGACATAAAAAAAATAATTATGCGTGGACCAAGGTGTCTGAGTTTGTTGGTGTTCCTGGTGAGTTGCTGATGTGCATTAACGTTATAGTAATAATAATCTAAAGACATAATAAATAATAATATAATAGTCCCAGTTCACTTTTAAACCTTTAAATCAATTTTCCTGATTATAATTACATTAAGTAATGTTTATACCTGATTATACTTACTTAAGTGACATTTTCAATGCAGGACTTTTACTTGTATCAGAGTATTTTTACAGTGTGGTATTAGTGCTTTATACATTATGAGGTAAAGGATCTTAATACTTCGTCCACAACAATATTTAATGAGGTTAACTTATAACTTTACCCTCCTTGTGGTCAGTCTGCACAAGATCAACAAGCTTTTTTTGCTTTGCGTCCCCTTTAAATACAAGATAAGCATTCGATCTACGTCAGAGCGTCCATGAATCTTTCCACAGCGTTGTTGGCAGGGAGGCCAGAGCGATTTTTGACGCTCTCGACGGCGGCGGTGTGAACGCACGGTTAGACTGCCAGTTGCCATGGTCACAGTGATGCCTTGAGTGGAATGTGAAGAGCATCTTGACCCATTCAAGATGTTGGGATACAAAGCTGAGAAGAGGCACTTTAAATAGCAAAAGCAGCAAAACACTTTAGTTTATTTTTGCAGTCACTGTCTTGGACAGCCAGCAAACATGCTATACCAGAATATAAAGAGCTGCAGTGTGCTGGCACTGCACAATGGCATCAGATGGCACATGGTAAAATATTACCGTGCTTTGAGCTGGTTTTGCTGATCTCCTGGTTTTCACTTGCAACATTAAAGGAGTAGTTCACTCAAATATGGAAATGATTTTTTTGCCATTGCTGCCAATTGTCATTGACATGTCATTATTTATTCATGCGGTTCCAAACTTTCTTCCGTGGAACTCAAAAACAAAAACTTTTCAAAACAAAAACTTTTCTTCTGAAGCTATTAGTATTATATCTTACTATGTCTAGTACTATATACTATATTTTACTACTTCTAAAAAGTAAGATAAAATAATACAATGCAATAAAATAAAATATTTTTTATTTTATTTGATATTACATTTTATTCTTCTGAAGCCATGTAGTATAGCTTAATGTTAATATAAACATTTCTAATATGTTTCCAGTGCAAAAAAAAGCTTCCCAAAAAACAAAAAAAAATGTTAAGAGACACAATAACAATCATACAGAATTATATGAAGCATTATTTTGAACTGGTTATATTTGTACAGGCTGAAAAAATGGCATGTTGCTTGGCAGAAACCTATTTGGAAAAGATAGGGTCTCTTTGTTGTCATTTTCAAGGACTTCTGCTCATATTTGTTCTGAGCTTCTTTTGTGATGTGTGTAGAACACATAAAATAGGCTTTACAGGTACAGTCTCGTGGCTTTGTTCATTGAGTTTCGTGAAGACTTTAGTCAAGGCTGCTGCAAACAGCTACTGTTGTTTGCATAACTCACCGGTTTCATCATTCCTACTTTACCTGGTCTCAGCGGTATTTGTCCCTCAGCTTGTTACCACGGCACCCACTGACTCCCATGAGAGTTGCTTAACCAGCGAGGGCTGAGTGCCCCTGGGCTTCACATATTGTGTTTGACCAATCACAAAACACAATGGTACCTTTGTCACAAAGCACTCTGGAAGGAAGTAGTCACTATGAAAGAGGACAAAGTGTGTGCGAAAACCTAGTGGCGTTTAACTCTGAACCTGTCATCTGTTGGAAACTTGTGCCAGAGGCTCAACCATTTGTAGAAAGAAACAAATAAATGGTGTTTTTTGTAGTGGCAATTCGTCCAGAATCTGTTCACCCTTTTGCTTTGTGTGTAAACAGTGCCCACGATGTGTGAATGATTCAGCATCAAGACCTTTTGGTTATTATGGCAATAGTAATATTGTTGCTCTTTTTTTTCATGCCAATATTGATTTTATTTTTTATAGTGTGCTATAGGGTTACAACAACTAATAAAAGGCATAGCCATTAAATCTGATGGAACTGAAAACAATAACATGTATAATCAATAACCACAAGCATTTACATTTTACCTTTTACTGTGTTTTTTTTAAACGATACCACTCCCATTTTGTTGGATGTTGCTAATACTGAATGATGCTAGTCTTAAATATCATTATAAAATGTTATTTTAGTGTTACTTATATAATATAATATAGTATATGATTAATAAGTCATGCTTTGAAATAATGCTTTTTCATTCAGATTTTAGTTAAAATTTTAGTAGTTTGTGCTTTTGTAATCTTTATTACTTTTTGTTTAATATTTATAGTTAATATAAATATATATTATGAATAATTTATATATACTTTTTTGCACTGTTAAAACATAATAATACAATAAATAATAATAATATGAATAATCCTGCCAGGACATTATCTATTAAATCTAAAACATAACTCAAAAATTGTAAATGTAGGTAAAACACCTGTAAAAAAAAAAATCAACACCAAAATTCCTGCATATTAATAAAGTACATTGTGCCCAGTTTTCACATATTTTTATAGAGTGCATTTAATATTTGTTTTGCTGTATTATTATTATTTTTTTAGCAAAAATGTTTTTATGAGTTTGTTGACAATAACAATAAAATATTTTGTATATGTTAATTTCAAAATTAATTAGGATTTCATCACATGTACAACTGATGAAAAATAGCAAAGAATGGTGTTACGTCAAAATCCTCTTCTCACATATGTAAGTATATTAGTTCAAAACTCTTCCTTCTCGTTGTGCATGTAGAGCAAAGTTGTAGTGGTCTCATTATGAACTCCTGGCAGAGAGAGAAAATAAAGGAGTGAAAACTCCTCATGGGGACACTGGGACTGAAGAAATGGGGTTCTGCACATTCTTTCCATGTTGAATTTAGTAATATTTGATTGGGGGGGGGGGGGGGAAGAAAGCCACAGTGTTCTGTTAGAGCTTCATTCCAGCCAGTAGAGGCGATAAGAGGAGCAGAAAGAGCTGGACACGAATCAATGAAATCTTACACCAGCCTGACATCTAGTGGAGGTTTTGTGTAGTGCATGCCAGCCAGGAGGTCCTTTGTCATTGTCACAGTCTTATTGTTCTTTTTTTGATTGCTAAAGCAAGCATCACTATTACTGATGCTCATATTTAGGGTTATGGATTTGGACAAACTGTTAAGCATTAAATGTAACGCGTGACATGTGCCACACCGTTTGTGCTACAGATATGAATGATGCCTCAAATGATTTGGCTTTGTTGAAGTGAGATGTGCTATTACGTTTCTAAGCAGTACACACTAGCAACCACCCTGAAGACCAGGTGTGCTTAAATCCACTCAAAACAACTTAGCAATTGCAATTCTACAATTAATTTTTTTTTTAAATAATTGTAATAAACTCTACTTTGCTCTCATTTAGTAATAAATTATTAAATGAATATATAGATTAAATAAAATAACTAGGCATATGACTTTATAGCCTTGTAGTACTATAATGAAAGAAAAGTATTATATTTGTAAACAAAAATATTTGAAAATGTCTAAAAATGTTAATATGCACACCGTTAGAAATAAAATTTCTAAATGAATAGATGAAAAAATACCTTTGGGCATGTGTCTTATTTTATATACATGTAGTCTTATAGATTTTTTCTATTATTATTTTTTCCCATTACTTATTTTTGGTTCATTTATATATATATTATATTATTTATCTATATATAATTATTTCTTCATAATTTCCCTCAACGCTTCATGCAGTGTACTATTTTTAACAGCAGGAGGTGACAAAACATCATTTTCTATTCAGCCACTTTTGAGGCTGCAAAAGATGGAGGAGGTCACCATTAATAGATTCCAGTACAGTTTGACCTTGTCCTCTGTAACCTTTGTATAGGGGTCAATTTAGGGTCACCGGCCCTCTTACAAAAATAGAGCCTACAAGACCAGGTTTTCAAAAAAATGTTTTATAAAATGACAAACTTCACATATCAGCCTTTAAACCATTTAAGAAAAGGGGCAAGACAAAAGTAGGCTAATAATTATATTAATTTAAAACATAGGCCTATAAATATATATCTTACTGTCTTAATTGTTTAGGTTTGTAGATGGCACATTAGCTTCTTGTCAAACCGTCCGTTCACAGTTATAACTATGCATGTTTGCTGCATTAAAATATTGTTTGATCTTCATATTGGCCTGAGCAAAAACAGCAGACGGGCTGGTTGAAAAGGCAAATTCATTCTCTGCCAGTGCTTTTGGAATGGCAGAAATATAGTGGTTTCCCCAGTAATGCTAGTCATCAAAGAAGTATTTTGCTAGAACTTCTTTGCGTGCCTATTTAGCCTTTTGCTTCGCAGCACCTGCAGGATGTGTTTGTTACGGAAAACATTCAGAAGGCGGGACCACTTTTAAATGGCAACATTAATTGGTTTAATTGCAAGTGAGTGACAATTCAACTCTATCTAATGCACAATGAGACTAGTATTTTGCTGCCTGTCTTGACTGGTGGACTAGCGTATAGGGGATGTTACGGTTATGGAGGCCCCGCCTCAAAGCCTGAGGCTCTAGGCAATTGCCTGCTCTGCCTATAGGTAGTGCCGGCACTGTGTAGTAGGGTTAGGTGGCTTTGGTTTTATTGTGAATTTTTTATGTAAATTTGTTGTGTTTTGTTTTTACTTAGATTTTATATTTACATATACTTTAAACTTTTATTGTATTGTTCAATTTAAAGTTTTTTTTAATAATAAAGCCGTTATTTAATGTCATCCACTGTCTTTTTAAAAAAAAAATTTAAGTATCATAAAAAAACAAACAATACCCAACCCTACTCAAAACTCCCAGTGGCAGACTATTTAAGTACTAACAATCCACCGAGTCTGCTACACCAGCCTTGACGCCGTTCCTCAGCGACTCACTCCACTGTTTTTTTATTAGACAGAAGGGTTCTCTCCTACAGTCATGGCCACCAGCTGGTATAGAGAAGGTTTCCCTCTCCCCATCACTCTCTCTGTATTCCTGCTGGGACTCCCATCAGAGATGCCTCAAGATGCTTCTGGGCACAAACACACAGCTCAGACCAGAAGTGCAGGCACATCAACACGGATAGAACCACAGTTGTGTCTTTGCTTGATTTTAATGTGCATTTAAGATTATTTTTATTTTGTATTTTTTTACAATGTTAAAACTTCCATAATGTCACTTAAATATTACTGTAATTACTATAACGATATAAGTAACTTTGCAAATACACTAGCTCACTTAATTTTTCTATATTATTTTAGTTTTAGCATTTCATATTTTATGGCTTTCAACGTTAACAGATATAATTTAAACATTTAAGGCGGTTTACTTTTCTTTATATTTAATGAAGTTGGTTGTAAATGTTTACAATTACCATGGTTTCAGGCAAAATGCCTTTAAAATAGCAGTAGTTGTTGCTACAGTTAATAAAATACTGTATAATGTTAGCAGAATCTTTCCAAGTTGCTAGTTTTACTATTGCAACAATAGCAAAAATTATTGGGGCATTCACTATAAACAACAATTTATTTTAAACGTCAAACTTTATATTAAGCGAAAGTGAAACTAGCAGCCTGTATGAAATGCACTAGGCTACAGGCGTTTCTCATTCTGCACCATATAAAATGATTGTTACCTGGCTCACTTTGGAAAAAGTCGTATTGGTATATCTCTAGTGGTTACCAATGGTGTGCGTTTGTAAATGGATGAACACTTTAATACAAGGCATGCACTTTTTATGACAAATATTAATATCATAATATTTCCTAATATTTGTCTATGGATTTTAAACTTTTAACTAAGAACCTTTTTAGGTTTGAGCAGATAAATAACCCCCAGGGATGAATGCATGATGTCCATATTCCTCCAAACCTTGCCTGACTTCCTGCTCTCGTTTCTGCTCCCCAGTCGTTCCTGAGGGGCTGGAGGCTGTTGCTGTGTGCTTGATGAGCATTTGATAAGCGTTGGAAGTGTTTGAGTGACCCAGTTCAGTCAGCACTGCTCTGTTGATGGTGCAGAACATCCTCACGCTCTCCGTCTCTCACCCTCCATCATTCCCGCTCTCTCCTTCTCTCTCTGCATTCTGCTGATTAATAATTGAGTGTTTCGTTTTTGTCTGCGCACGCTCTGGAAAAACGATTAAAAGAGGGAGCAGAAGCGGCAATGATGAAGGGAGCAATGCAGAAAGAGAACGAAAAAAGCAAGCAGCACTCGTGCTGCGTTTGAGAGCAGTCAGGAGCTGCCTCATTAGTCCTATAGAGACGATGTAGCGAGTATTTGTTTGTGTGTGTGCGCGTTTTTCATTTAAGGACAAACATCCAGAAGTTTGGAGAAGTGTTTGTGTACTTAATAATAAAGAAATCAATCTGCCAACAAACATGGACTTTTAATTGTCTGAAATAATGTTAATTGATTAAATAAGGTATAATGTATGTGGCTACTCAACAAATAAATGTGAATGTGAAATCTTGATTTGATTTCAAAATGGGCGTATCTGTAATATTCTTGTACATTTTTTACAAAGAAAATAAATTACCCATTACAATGTACAAAACGAATGTCAGAGCAGCAAGACGAATACTGAAACTGTACTACAGAAATATTAACGCTGAAGTTCTTGGATGTTATTTTTACTGCAATCGATAACAGACACGCAAGATGCCAGTAGTTGCGTTAAGCGCAACTCTGCAATGTGATATGAGAGATGCAGGTTTCTGGATGAGCGTTCCAATATACAGAGTTGCATGGACGACTGAGAAGATTAGGAACAGGGGCCTTGGTTCCGGAAGTATTTTTCCTATAGGGATTTTCAAAAATTCTTTAGTAAAGAATTGTAAGCCATGAACCAAACCATCCAGCTATGAGGTGATTCATGACGATACAAACTTTGATTTGGAAAAAAAAAGAACTAGAAAATCAGAAATCAGAAAATTTGAACATGTTAATGTGGAAAATAACTAGAATCTTGTAAAGCATTATGAATAAATCAATTTTTTTTAAAGATGGTGAGTATCAAAACAACATTTTATGTTTGTTGTAGTGCTGTCAAAATTAGCGCGTTAATGCATGCGATTAATTTTTTCAGTTTAACATGTTAAAAATATTTAACGCAATTAACGCAGGGCTGGAGCTAGGATTCATCACCCCACTCACAACTGCTGCTTCTGTCTTTTTTTTTCTTGACAAGAATTGCGTTTATTTAGACAGAATGTCTTTACGACCACATCAAACGGGAGACTGTTCAGACGCGCACTCCAACTTTGTCTAAAAATGAATTTTCCTGTCCCGTCAGCCGTTACACTGTGCTCGTAGCACGTGCTCTTCAATTGGATGCACAAATGCAGTAGCGCTCACTGTATATCATTTCATATTAAAGAGCAAATAAAACTACGAGCATGTAATGTTGTAATTATATCGTCAGTTTAGTCATGAAGTTACCAAAAAGGTGATTAAAGTTGCCTTAAAACCGTGCATGTATTTGTTATATATGAGTCACATTTAAGAACATGTCTCTGAAATGCAGTGGTTTTCCAAACTGTCCTGGAGCAGCCCAGCACTGTCTCCCTCATCTAACACACCCGATTCAACTCGACAGCTCATTAGCAGAGACTTAGAGACCTGAAGTGGGTCAGAAAATGTAAAGAGTTGTGAGAAAATATGAAGCGTGTCAGATCCACGTCATGTTTAGCAGCGGCAGCTCTTAAAGCAGCCAAAATAACCTAATAACCCAGCTTGTGTCTGTTCATCAAAGAAAAAAAGAGGAAATCAATAACTTTTGTAGCTTTAAAGGGTTAGTTCACCCAAAACTGAAAATTGGGCTGTGTTTTACTCACACAGTAAAACACACCTAGGCATCCTAGGTGTATATGACTTTCTTCTTTCAGACGAATCCCGTCGGAGTTATATAAAAAATTGTCCTGGCTATTCTATCATTGCAGTCAGCGGGCGTTTCAGTGCTTCAGTCCAAAAGAAGTGAAATAAAAAGCACTCATCCATAAAAAAAAAAGTGTCTCACACGTCTCCGGGGGGTGAACAAAGGCCTCCTTCAGAAAAATAATTGTTTAAAGTCTAATAAATGTTATAATTGATAGCTCTCAATTATACTGTAATGTTGAATGGCTATAGTCAATGGTTAAATATTAGGAAAAAGAAAAAAATTCCTAGAGACATCAGTTGGTATCAGTGATACTCACTTCAGCCATAAAAAAATATGCTATTAAACAAATATATATATATATATATATATATATATATATAAAACCATTAAAAATATGTCGATAAGATGAATCATGTGATAAGATGAAGATATACAAGGAATTCCAGTGCAGACTAAACATATTAAATCAAATGAAAAACAAGTACTATTAAAATGTGCAATAATGAAGTGTGCAGTGAAACGTAGCTGGGTTATTTGCTTCATGTTAGGAGTGTCTATCAGCTCATAAACCCCAGCACTGCTTTGGGCATGTTATCTCACTGGAGTGTGTATCGGCTGTTCTGACTCAGTGATCAGGATGTCCGCTGCTCATTGGATTGCTCCTCTTTTCACATTTCCAATTTTAACACTTACTGGAGAGGCAGACGTGGAGCGGGGCTCGCCGGGAGCTGGAAGGACGTCTCTGGCATCGGCCCAGCGTGCCTCAGAAGATGTCTAACGTTCCTGACTGCTCTGTGACCTGAAAAAAGGAGTGTCAAGGGGGATTGTGTGTCAGTGTGTTATTTCCTACACACACACATAAATCAAGCAGTCACATTTCAACTGGCATCACTTACAAGAGGAAGAGAGATGGTGTGTGTTTCGCGCTTGGCCGTTTGATCACTCTGTCCACTGTTTTCCTCTGGGAATCTCCTTATGTGGCCTTTTGTTTGTGCAAAGAAGTGTATCACAGAACAAAAAGTATGACAGAGTGTTTACATTAGGCATTGATGTTATGTGTGTCTGTGTCAGCTACTTTTACTCTAACCATACAGGAAACCAGACCACATGTTAGAAATAAGCATGTTTTGCTTCATGTTGGAATCTGAGTGACATTGTTCTTCATCTTCCTCTCTCTTTCTGTCTCACACAGTCCGGATGACATTGGCACGTGTTGGTACATTCTGCTTTCTGGATCGGTCTTCATCAAAGAGTCCATGTTCCTGCCACGCTCCAGGTATGTCCCTTACCTGAATGCCATCTTATATCAAACATTGACGCTTCATTAGAAAACACGCGCAAAATACCCTTTCTTTAACCTGCCATGTATATTAAGCTTGTACCTTTCTTCTTGCAAGCAGTCACATTTCAACTGGCATCACTTACAAGAGGAAGAGAGATGGTGTGTGTTTCGCGCTTGGCCTTTGATCACTCTAAAAGTTCTCACAACTAAATATCACATCGCTGAATATGTGACAAAATATGTAACGTTGAACCTTGAGAAGAAAAAATGCCCGTCTCAATGCATGTTAATTGCCAGCTTCCTACAGGTTCTTCATTCTAGTTTGCCACTTAAATGGCTCATGTGTAGATATGCACATCAAAAATGTGACTGGGACCAATTTAGTAAGTTAAATTTGCATTTAATGAAAATGAAGAGCCACTTTATCACTTTTTTTTTGGACTTTCGACTTTTCGAGAACATTTATGAGTGCCATATTTTTTATTATACAGAAATGCTGTTATAATTTCTCAAATACTTTAAATATGATCAATTCATTCAAATAAATGATCTGAATAATTAGATTAAAGACAGTTAAAATTAAAAATGAATAAGAAAATGTATTTGTCTAGTTTTTGCCTTTAGTTCAGCCAAAAATTAAGTATGGCATTGTTTTTCACCCACATGTCGTTCCAGAAATGTATGATTTTGTTTCTTCTGTGGAATAGAAAAGGGAACATTTCCCCCTAGACAGGTATCGTATTCAAGTTTCAAAAAGCACCATAAGCATATCATGAAAATATTTTTGTCCTGCTTCAGAAGATCTGAATATATGACACAAACTACATGGAGTACTTTTATGATATGTTTATGGTGCATTTGAGTCAAAACGTCTCCTTTTAGTGTTATAGTAAGGAAAGTCAAGTCACCTTCATTTATGTCGTACAATACAATACAGATTTACAGTAATGAACTGGAAAATAACAGAATCAATGAAGCAAACTTCATCAAAAATGAGACAAATCCGAATTCTGATGTGAAGCAGCTCTACATAGACAGTTGTGTTATTCAACTCGAAACAATTGAATGATAATTCAGTTCAGCTCAATAACAGTGTCAATGTTGAAAAATTCATAAATTATGAAACAATTCAGCTTATGGTAACTCATGCAGGTTTAGAACAAAAATAAGAGTGAGTAAATGATGACAGAAGTTTCAATTTGTGGGTGATCTATCCCTTTAATTTCTGATCCTGGCATGTAATCAGTTACCTAATGCAAATATCATAACTTGAAATTATCATAATTTGACTATTTTAACAAGGCCACATAGGGAAATAAAGACTGTCATTATCGAGGATCAATATTTTGCTTGGCACACTACAATCTAGCTGTAGCATAGAACCATGTCAGAAATGAAGCAGCAAACTTTAGCATGGACATACAGAAACAGGCATTTCGACTGGGCTGAATTTAAAAGCATAGCAAGCTGTACAAAAACACTTGACAGAGATGCACTAGAATTGGCTTGCTGTGGGAATATGTCATTTTATCACCATGGCAATGAAAGAAGCAGGTCTCTCCCTCCCTCGCTTTCTCATTTGGCTTCATGGAGAGAGCTGTGATGCGTTGCTCCTGTAATTGCTCCAGGGGTCTAGTGAACAAAAACCAACAGGACAGCGGAGCACTTCATAAATAATGTCTTGATAGTGCTCACAATTTTTCCCCCCAAGAGGCATCACAGCTACCCTGTGTACTGATTCTTGTCTGAGACAGACCAGATCTGCAGTAACATCTTATCGGCTTCCTTTACCACATGACGTGTGTTATTTTCTTCCAGTTTCTTTCCAAACAAAAACACACTTGTTTTAATGCAAATTTCTGTAATGCTTCTGTTTAATTGCACCTGAAACTCTCACTCACTGCAAATGCAGCATGCAAGTGTTTAATTGCACAGCGATTACCATCATTAAAAGAATAATGGTGTGCAAAGTGCTGGCAGAAGTCAGAATTGAGTTTGAGGTGGCATTTGAAAATGGCAGCACCAGTACCACCTGGTACTCACACCAGTACTTATGCAACAAGTGCAAGCTCTTTAAAATGGCTTAACTACCAACAGTAATTTCTGTTGTTACAAACTCAGAAAGTCTGTTGTTTTCTTAACTATTCCTAAACGCAAGACTTGGGAAAACATTGTTAATCAGTTCCTAGAGACATGATTTTACCCAAAAAACAAAAAAGTACTGTGGCTTTACCATGGTACAAATATACAAATATGGCATTAGGAATACTATGTGTGCTAACCTTGGCTAACATTCTGGCAAGATTCTCTCAAAGTTATGAACAAACATTCTTCCAATAACATTATAGGAACATTTGTTTAAAGTTATCTGGTCTTTAATGTTCTCAAAACATTAGTACAAAAACATTATTTATAAATTGTTCATGGAAGTTGTTTTTCCTGAAATGTTTTAGTTGGCCATTTGTCTAACGTTTTTATTTTTAATGTTAAATGTTTCATAATGTTGTGAGGACATATAAAAGAAACAGTCCCATGATGTTTGCAAATTAACTGTTCCATTAATGTTCCATAAATGTTTTTAAAACATTTTAAATGTTCTTAGAACATATTTCCGATAACTGAGATGATACTTTGATATGTTCCATGGTACTGAATTGTTACCAAACTCATGTATCAAGGTGTTTACACTACATTGCTTCAAGGTGCAAGGTACTTCAAATAGTTTTTTTTTCACTGTCTAAAAACAAACCAAATGTGAGGATACTTTAAATTGAATTTAGAAGCATGCTCAGCTTTTCCATAGTTCTTTTTATTTTTATTCATCTGCAAATAAAACGTTTTACTAAAATGCAAGCTTTTAAAATCTTTCAGTTTCAAGTTTTTATTTTATTTTTATTTTTTATATATATATATTTTATTTTTTAATAATCTTTTTCCTCTTAACCACATGCAAACAAACTCCTGGGTGGTTTTCCCTTGGAAGTGCTTTGAAAGCCTTACTGTTCCTCCCTGAAGTGATATGCATTTATTTCATGAGAATATAATCTGTAACATCTGATCAGTCGCAGACTATGCATGTCACTCCCTGCATGTATCAACATGCCTCATTTGTTGTTTAGCCACAATTTCTCAACTTTGCATGTTAGTCCCCAGCTAACTGCAAACCATGTTTGGTTTGACGTTAGTGGCTTATTTGTGAATTTGAACTTAATATGATTTTTTAATTGATTATAGTTATTATTAATTATGATTGCTTTTAACTTTTTGCATTATGAATAGTTATTTTTTTGTTAGACTAACTGTAAGAATATGAGTATAATATGAGTTAATATGAATTAAAGTATCCTTTCCTTTCCCATTTCCCAAGTTGCCCTTTCTAGTTTTTCTGGGTGCTTCTCCCTCTGATGGCTACATGTCTAGAGTTTGGGAGGTCATGTTGTTTGTGGGTAGAGGTCAACCCCTCCCTCTTGGCTCCACAGGAAGTAAGAGGCAGGCAGGCAGGCAGGCTTCAGTCGATCACCACTAACTCTCAAGAACGCACATTCCCCAATGCATACTCTCGTAAGATGAAGGCAGTAGACAGAGCTGTCAGAACAGAGGGCTCGCAGTGCAGCGTACGTGAAGTTGGATTATCATGTGGCGTTCCCGAAATCATGTTTGTATATAGTGTGGTAGAAGAGTGTGTGTATGAATATTAAGAAAGGACATTAAAAACACATTTGGAGTAGAAGTATGGAACTGAATGCATGACTTTCAAGTATCTGTCTCTGTCTGGATTTCATTGGACATATTCCGTAACAACTCTCTCATCTTCAGGTACTGTATTATTATTATTATTTTTATCATATTGTGTATTATTTTGTACATTAAGTCATGATTAGATCACTTTAAGAAATTACTAAATATTTTCTATAAACACACTTTCCAACAAATAACTAAATATATATTGATATTTTATTTTATATTATGTTATTGTATTTTTTCAAATTGTTTTTTTTTTTACTAATGCTGAAAGACTGGTTAAAGGAATCATACCTGAAGTGTCAAGCTTTGCTAAACATGCCTCAAGCACCCCAATCCCTGCATTGTATCCAGTCACAGTTCAGGGTTGTCTGGTGCTCCTGAAATGTTGTTTTCTCTGCTTTATGTTGCCATGTGTTTTGTGAGCACAGACCTGAGAGGCAGCAGAGCTGTTTAGCACTCACTGAAGCACTACAGTAGAATACTGTTATTGCATTATCTATTCTACTGTATTTCAGCATGTCCCTAAGCCTTCCAATGTATCCCCTTCTCCCCTCAGACTTTCCCACCAACAGAACTTGCATAACAGCTCTTTAATCTTTGCTCAGCTTAATATGGAGAGATGAAAAAGGAGCTTATTTACTTTGGAGACCCCATGTTCTTTGCTGTGTGTGAGTGCCTGCTATGTTCGTCACAGAATCACATTCCAGACACCCGGAATGTTGTGTAATATGGAATGTAGGGGCCGACTGGGTGGGCATCACCTCTCACCGGGAGTTCAATTCCCAAGGAATGCGGCGCGGTGGCTGACGTTAATATATGAATGTCTGGTGTTAATTTCATTTTTACAGTTTGTTTTACTTTTTTCTGGCTTCTACAGAGAATAATGATTTCTGTTTAAACTCTGGGATTTAATAACCTAGAGAGGTTTTCCCCCTTCTCTTTGCATTTGGTTGTGCTTAAGGCGGCTATTTTTTTTCCAAGCACATCTAAAAGACTATAATCTATAAGTGTGGTGAAAATGTATTCCATTTTTCTGTTCCTATTGCATTTTGCGGTTTAAATTAGACTTGGAATCCCTGATTTTCAGTGTGGTTTCAGACTATACCCACCATATCATCAACTATATCATGAACGATGAATGAAAACACTAAGTCTTGAGGTTTTGTATATGGATAGAAGCCTCTAAGGGAAGGTAAAGAGCATTACAACACAGAGGGCTCATTGTGTGTGGTCTTAGAATGAGGAACAATGTATGTAGAGGGAATCGCACCTGTTAGTCCAACTATATTAGCTAGTTACTATATCTGCCAGCTGCGCTTTTACAGTAACCTGTGTACAAATAGCTATACAACAGTAAGTGTAGTTTTACCAATGTAAACATTTAAAGAAGCATGCAAACTGTCATTGTAAGGTATAATATTTTATATAGTAGAGTATTTCCATAGCAAAATCAACCTGGCTTTGTCAGTCACAGTTTTCTGAAGTCTGTATAAGTTTTTCTCACCTCTCACCCAGCTAAACCACTGTGTGTGTGTGTGTGTGTGTCAACTTTGGACCAAAGTGTCACCTGGCAGCTCATTCAGCTGCAAAAAGTGTCTTACAAGCAGCATTAATGGTGACTCAACAGACCAGATGAAAAGTGAAGTGTGCAAACAGCACCAAACAGAATTTGTTTAGTTTAGTTTTCTTATTTATTTTAATTTAGTTTTGCCTTTTTCCGATTTATTTTATTCTTGCGTTTTTGCTTTTAGTGTAGTAAATACAGGAAATTGTTGTGTGAAGAAGAGGCAATGGGGTTATGCTTTGTCAGTCACAGTTTTCTGAAGTCTGTATAAGTTTTTCTCACCTCTCACCCAGCTAAACCACTGTGTGTGTGTGTGTGTGTGTGTCAACTTTGGACCAAAGTGTCACCTGGCAGCTCATTCAGCTGCAAAAAGTGTCTTACAAGCAGCATTAATGGTGACTCAACAGACCAGATGAAAAGTGAAGTGTGCAAACAGCACCAAACAGAATTTGTTTAGTTTAGTTTTCTTATTTATTTTAATTTAGTTTTGCCTTTTTCCGATTTATTTTATTCTTGCGTTTTTGCTTTTAGTGTAGTAAATACAGGAAATTGTTGTGTGAAGAAGAGGCAATGGGGTTATAAAATGCTATTCTCTGATTTTTCATTTTACCCCAGCAGTGCAAGTGATTTAGTGAAGCGCAAATATGTGTATCTATTTAAAAATGTTTAAGCCATGTCCATCTTATAGGGGTCATATGATGCTGCTAAAAAGAACAGTATTTTGTGTATTTGGTGTAATGAAATGTGTTTATGCAGTTTAAGGTTCAAAAACACATTATTTTCCACATACTGTACATTATTGTTTCTCCTCTATGGGCCGCCTTCTGAAACGCGTCGATTTTTACAAAACTCATCGTTCTGAAATGATTGGCCAGCTATCCAGTGCGTTGTGATTGGCCGAATACCTCAAGCGTGAGACGGAAATGTTACGCCCCTTACCATATTGTTATGATGCCTTGTCAGGCCGGAGCGATGAGACAAAAACATGAAAACCCATTATAAACGAGGCATTCGTTGCATCCAGTGGGGACATAATTATGGATTATAATGACTTGTACTGTCTTTTTACGCGTTGCGTTGCATCGCGCCGCGTAAACATAAAACCATGTCTGTATTTGTGATCGGAAAAATGACAAACAACAAGCCCTACTCTACACTGCCCAAAAAAACTCGCTTTAAATATATAAAATATAAAAATTCATTCTTACAGTCTTTGAGTCAGAACAGCCGGCATTGTAGTCTACTCTTCCAGGAAACAGTCCTCCATAAAATGTGCTGCACACATCCGAATATTTGGGTTGAACTGTTCTGAAACAGTGTTGTAAATACAACTTAACCACTGATTTCTAGCCATGTCCATTTTTTGAAGGCCAAACAAAGTAGTTTCGCTTTCACAATGAAACAGCGTCACACACGGCGGCCTACAGTGAGCAGAGGCCGGCGGCTAGACTGAGGAACGGCCGGAGGGTTAGAGTGAACGGCGGCGGTCTACAGTGAGCAGAGGCCGGGGGCTGGCGTGAGGAACGGCGGGAGGGTTAGAGTGAGCAGAGGCGTGGGCTTGAGAATGGCGCGGCCGGCGATTTCCACGAAGGAGCGTCCGGAAGGACATGTGACGACTCCGGACTGGACTCCGCTTCGTTCACGGTTAAAAGCCGATCCGGCGATCGACAACGCAAAGTTGTAGTATTTCCTCATCGACCAGCACGGATCAGCTTCAGGCATGACGAAGCAGATATCGTCCTCTTTTGGAAGACCAAACAAAGTAATTTCGCTTTCACAACGAAGCACACAGCGTCTTTACGACATTGCAGCGGAAACAACAAAACTACAGCGAGAATAAAAGTTACGCCGCCTTTCTTTGCGTGAACATTTGGGCGGCGTTATGCAAATCTTCCCACAGAGTGACGTAGGTATGTTGGGGCGTGTTAGAATGAGCCGTTTTAGGTAGGTGTGGCTGACTCTTAACTTTTATAAAGAATATCTCTTTGGATTTGAGTCTTTGCAACTTTACAGATCTTCTTTATGCACCAAGAGCTTGTAACACTCCAAAGAGAAAGAAAAAATTGAAAACGCATCATATGACCCCTTTAAAGTAATTATTTGCCTTCATCTTGTGTGGAACTCCACCTCACATTTCCATTTCCATTTTCAATAGTTTTTTTGTGTTACTCACACACTCCATCACTTTGCACTGTACTTCTTTCATTAGGCCGTGATGTCAGCCGTTGGACTTTTCCAGTCTGGTCGTAGTTTCTTTCCCAGCGGAGCCTTAATACCTAGGCCAGGAACACTGCCACGAGTGTTTGGAAATGTGCTCTTCTGTCTTGGATTCTGAGCATGCATTCATTCCCACAGAATCTCAGGATTCCAGAATTGGTTGAGCGGTTTGTAACCTTCCTCTCTCTCTCCTGTTCTTCTCCTCTAGTTTTGGGAAGAGGTCTGCTGGGAGTTTACGTCGTGGATGCGAGTGCATCGTTCTGGAGCCATCCGAGATGATTGTGGTGAGTAATCATGGACCAGATAATCATTTTAACTTCATACTCTTACTAATCACACTATATAATTGCTGTTTTGTGCTGTAGTTTCATTCCTCTTCCCTAGTGGTTCCCACAGTTTGCTACGCTTTACCCCCAGGGGTACACACCAGGTCAGATTTACATAGGCATTACATTACATGGGCAGATAACAATTTCAGCTCTTACCGAAACTGAATGCACTGACTAAAAACCCTTTTCCAAAGAAAATGTGATGGTTTGATAGGAATGATTGTCAGCTGGTTGTCCAACAACTGACTGTTACTTTGCACATAATTTGACTAGTTTATCTAGATAGTCTTATTTAAGTTTGATGTTTTAGCATTTTGTAGCTTAATTAGCATGTTGCTATATCTTTGAGACCAAAACACTCTAAAAAGTTGTGCATTTGACTGCAAATACATGTCTTGTATATTGTAAATGCCCCCTTAAAAAGCCATGGAATAGGTGCACCTGAAATCAGCCTGACTATGGGCTTTGTGAATATTTTAACATACTAAGTACTTAAAGTACTCTGTCTCCTCTCCACCAATAAGCTGGTGTGTGGTGGGCGTTCTGGCGCACTATGGCTGCCGTCGCATCATCCAGGTGGATGCTGCACACTGGTGGTGGATGAGGAGATACCCCCTGACAATGTAAAGCATTGAGTGCCTAGAAAAGCGCTATGTAAATGTAATGAATTATTATTATTATTATTATTATTATTAAATTCAGTGTCTTTTTGATATCATGAACTATAAATATTATTTAAATATTTAATGATTATAGCAATCAATATTTATAGAATTTTTTTGTGACTAATGGGGAAAATTAAGTGACAGTCTGAACATAAGCTACAACTTTTACTGTAGACTTTTTAGTAACAGCTATATTTTATTTCTTTATGTAGAAGTTTATATTTATATAAGGAGAACAGTTTAGTTGTGTGTGTTGTCTAGTTTTGTTTAGCATCAGGTGAGCCAGACTAAAGTTACATTTGGGAACCACTGCTCTAATGATACATGTCATATAAATGTTTCTGTACTCCTCCACATCTGTCTCTTTCTCAGTTTGAATTTGGCATCTTGTTTACATTTTACCACAAGCAAATTTCATTGTGGATTTGTTCCTCTTAAATATCTCAGCCCACTGCAGTTAATGTTCAACATGGCCTAAATTCAATGCTCTCGCCTTTCCAAAAAACCCTAAAATGATTTGTCCTAATATATTCCATATTCAGTTCATGATGTATGTTCACAAGTACAGAAAGACCCTCCCTATCTACATTTGCAGCCTCGGATTTGGCTAAGCTCTTGGGGTGGCATGGAAATGTGCCTACATGTGACTCAGTGGGCTCCTATATACATTTATGCATGTTGAATGCACTACTGTTCAAACATTAGTGGTCAGTAAGGTAATTAAAAAAATAATAATATTTGTATTCAGCAAGGATGCATTAATTTTTAATGTTACAAAATATTTCTGTTTCAACTAAATTCTGTTCTTTTAAACTTTGTGTTAATCAAAGAATCCGGGAAAAAAAGTATCATGGTTTGTTTCCACAAAAATAATAATAATAAATGTTTCTTGAGTGCGAAATCAGAATCTTTTAAAAACATTTAAACAAAATATTTCCAACCCCAAACTTTAGAATGGTTGTATGGACAGTATAAATGTAGCTCAATTCATAGAGCATGATGCCAGCAACACCAAGATCATGGGTTCCAATCCCAGGGAATGCATGTACTGATAAACCATATAGTTTAAATGCCCCCTAAGCCGTTTAAAAACACCTGCCAAATGCATAATCGCAATCTCTTGTTTGGGAGATGGCCACTGTCCTCAACAGTTGATCGTGCCCTTGTTGGGTAACTCATCTGTTATTACTGGCCAATGCTGCCCTGTAATTACAGGCTGAGGCAGGATATAGATACTGCACTCTCACTCGCTCACACCGCCCAATATATTCCCACTGCTTTGCGCTCGCCGGCAGTTGCCATAGCAGCGGTTGGTACGGTAGCGAGAGATTTGATGTGTAATCCCAAAGGCAGAGTGGGTGTGAAATGTGAGGCTGCAGCAAAAATAAGGCAGAGGGATAATCATGTCACTTTTTATGGCGTAATGTCACAGTGGCCGGCCCTTTTTATATGCAACTTATACACGTCCTGTGTATGATGATGCCACCCTCCTTCACGTCATTCAAAGACCTGCCATGGACCGGTTACACCGCTTTAATGACATTTTCTGGTGCCACACTGACAGAATACCCAGCAAAGATGGAGAATAAACATTGATCCGGAATACAGATGGTTTTGTTTTTGCACTTGTCTGCCATTTGAACTTTTAATTTTAAGGTAGAATCCACATAACGTGCAAAATTGAGCACCGAAAGACCCTTGCAAGCTGCTCCTCTGAAACTACATCTCCCCTTTTCTACCTTTCCTTTCTGTCTGCTGTGCGCCTCTCTTTGACGTAGGCGTTTGAGGATCAGCCCACACACACACACACACACACACACACACAGACAGGCTCACACACCCACTTCTATTTTTACACAGCGCCCG